GAAGGAGGGGAATAAAAAAGTTTAAGCAACAAATCCCCCCTTATTTTCATGTTTTAACATGCAATATAATATTTCAAAAATAGGGAAACATTACCTGATGAGTGGTTTTGTTCAAGAACTCCTTATGAGATTTAACTCTTCGTATCTCTGTATAATAGTAAGTCTGTGCGTGCTCATAGAAAGCATTTTCCAACCTGCAACAAAGTTGCTCATTAGTTTTAATAATTTTCTCCCCCATCCAAAGAAGTTTTTAAACTCTTCAGAATAAGTTACTTTTAATCATCCTTATTTTAGGGTTGGCAAAGTAGCTTGAAGTGTTACTGAGGTTGTCTTTATGCTGCCACACAGGGCAAGAGTCTGCAGACAAAAACTCTTCATACAAAACCTTACATAGGGGTAGCATGAAAGCAGAATAAGTAGGTTTAGAGAGGTTTATATATTGATTTCTCATACAACATTCTCTAGTACTTAATGTGAGAAAGTCTGTGGATAAGCTATCCAGATTTTATAGGGCAACAGAAAGTAGAGAGATGCCTCAATCAAAACAAGCAAGTTTTGCAGAGGCTCTTGGGATAAGTCTGAACAGGTCCAGGATCTTATTTGCTGGACTGTGGTGGGAGGAGTGGGAAGGAAAAAGCAGCAGTAAATAAGATTATGAGGCCACACAACAGAGAGGGTAGCAATGAAAACAATGAGGCAGAGCAACAGACAGCAACTGTTCACTATGAGTTCAGTCACAAAAGGAAGACAAGATAAATGAAGTCTACCCATCATACTTATTTTAGCAGTATATTGTGGCCATATAAGAAAAGACAAGCCAGTCTGAAGGGTAATAAATAAATAAATTTATTCTCTTTTATTACTATGAAATCTCAATATAAAATATCAAACCAAAAAGATTAATACCAGGAATTCTGACATGACCATATGCCCAAACATTTTTTTAAAAATGTGTATTAAGAGCTATAAATCCCTAATGATATAGCCCTATATTCCCAAGGCATAGTATACCTTGACAAAGATATAGTATTTGCAACCAGCTAAATGCCACTGAGCATAAAGAGAGAGATACCTATAGAGCCAGGAAGTGGAGAGAAAAAAAAAAACAAAGCAAAGATCTGCTAATACAGAGTTATACCTAACAAAATTATTATTAGTAGGGAAAATTATTTGAAAACAGCAGGGCCAAAACCACTGCAAAGGTAGAAAAAGCACACTTTGCCTCTATCCAACTTGAGGATAGGAATGTTTCTTCAAAAGCAGTATCTGACAGTCATTACTCAGCCTCACAGAGAATTTGTCAGGTTGTAGAACAACCCGAAGAATTCGAGCAAGCAGATAAAACATCCACTGCTGGTCTGCAACGAGCATGCCACATAGCAGGCATCCCAACCTACCAACTCTCCCAACATCTCTGTTAGCAAACAGTGCAAAACAGTGTTTTACAGTCACTTACCTTATAATATAACCAACGAGGTGATCAGTGTGTGGAAGTACAAAGAGGGATTTTCCAGAAAGATCACAAGCGTTACACAAAGCCGCTGCCCTCTCCGATGCAATAACATCTTCCCCTGGTGAAGTCAAGGAAAGCACAAGTAAGTGAGATGCACTGCTGCAACATCAAACTCTAAAAGCTTGATGAGTCCAAGGTATGGAAATATCTAATGTAGATAAAACTAAGACCACATTCTTTCAGAGCACTACATGCTTCATCCAGCAGAATACATTGCAGAAACTTTCTAGGAGCGGCTTCGCTAGCCACAACCTACAAGTATGATGTAACTTCTCTCTCACAGAATTAAATATCCTCTGTCTCAAGAAATACAATAGCATCCAGAAAAAGACAAACATACATAGCAGGTAGAGAAAAAACTAAGACAAAAAATGGTTTGCCAGACACTAGGAAGCACGCAGCTACTGCTGAAGCAGCAGCTCTACAGAAAAATAAGGTCAAAACACATCACATTTCACAGCTGCTCTTGACTCCAAAGTGTTATTGATTAAAACCAAGTTACCCTAAAAGGCTTCCGTAGGTACTAAATACCCTTCTTTGGAGTTCTCGGTGTTTCTACAGCTTTTCTTGATAACAAACAATGTGTAAAATGCAACTTGCTTACAAAAAGGTATGTCACATGTTGTACACTAGAGAACTATTTTTTTTTTTATACTGTGTATTAACTCAGACTTCACAGGAAGAAGTTGAGGATAAAAGTATCAAAGGTTTAGGGTCCTGAGCACTCTTTCCATCTGTACACCCTCCTGCAGCTACGAGGCACTTATTCTAGGTAGATAACATTATATTATGAGCTGCAGATACTGTGACAAACTATAGTCAGCTCAGTTCATCCAGTCTTCTGAAAAATGAGATCCCCACAACTGTGCACAGAGTTTTCTAGTACCTGGAGGCAACGGTGTCTTTTTCTGGATCAGAACCACAGCAACTTTTGTGTTTCTTCCCTGCAAACTTTGCCTAAAATAAAAACAACATAGCACAGTGTCAAGGTTTCACTTCTTATTTGTGAGTAATCCAGAAAAAAAAAAAATCAGTCTAGATAGAAGCACTGCAAGAATGTTATATAAGAAATACAACCAAACACAACAGCATGCTGCATCATCCCCAGAAGGCTGTGCTCTTTTCTTTGGTCAGATGGGACAAAGTAGTTGCGCAGACTTTAGCAAGCAAAATTACAGGGGCTGTTTTTACTTATATGACTCCTAAAAATAAACCATTAAAAACAAGTAAATCAAAGTTTCTTTACTGTCAGTTGAACTTCAAAAAGCAAAGCTCAAGTTCCCCTCAATTTGTGTCCAAGAAAAAAAAAAATATATTTATATATCGTAGAATGCCAAAGGGATTCTGCAATTCACATGTCCATCAGCCTGTAGCACATTATGCACCAAGTGAAAAAACCCTACCTGACAATTTCAACTCGAGTGGCACATTCCGACTGTTTTTCTTTCCATTGTGGCTCATCCCAGTCTAGCTCATAGAACACCACAACAAGTGCTGGAACCAAATTCAGGTGTTTGTTCATCCAACCAGTCTTCAGGATTCCTTTTGGGATATACCATTCATAGGACGTCCTCTGAAAATATTGAGGTTATTAAAGCAAGCTACCAAATCCATTTACCAGCCTCTTAGTAGAGCAGAAGGGGAATTTCCTCTACATTCTTGTCCCTTGTGGATAAGTTTGTCATCTTTCCTTTAACATTCTTCCCCTCAAGCTTTTGCTTCCTATCAGGCAAGACACACACCTCATTCCCTGGCATCATGGCCTGAGGCACTGCCAACTAAAAACAGCACATTCCAGACAGACTGGAGAAAAAGGTCAAGTTCAGAAGCAAGTTTCACACACCTTCGTGAAAAATTAGATTTATTTTAAAAGGGGGTTCTTAAGCAGATCCAGGAGAATTCAATTAGCATTCTTGTTCCTTGCCAGCATCACAGAATTATGTAGTTTTCCAATGCTTAAACCCATTGACATTGCTTCTTAACTGCCACTGCAAAGTGGAAAGGAGAGCAGAGATACTCTTTCTTCTGCCTGTCACTTAAAGGCTTTATTATTTTTTTTTCAAAATACTCCAATTTCAAATATCTAGTTTCTCCAGAGTCAGATTCTAGGTTTCACTAAAACTCAAATTTTACAAGCGTGCCTTAATGCTTGAGTAAATGAACAGCAAGCACTTTAAGAAGCAAGTCATAGTGGCTTTTTCTGCTCCTGACTTACAAGAAAAGACACCCTGGTTTTCTATGTGTCCACAGCATTCTGTCATAACACCTTTAGACCTAACAATTCTTCCCAGGCTTCAAGCTGCCCAACTTCCCCTCCAACATCAGGGGAAGGGACAGCAGAAGTTGGGCTGAGCATTAAGCAGTGCAAGGGCTGTTCAGTAAACCAGGCAGCTCAACGCTGAGTAAACGAACTGCAAGTACTTCAAAAAACGGGTCGTTATTGGCTTTCTCTACCTCTGCCTTAAGAGCTAAGGCTCCCTGGCTTTCCATGCCTCCTCAGCACTTTGTCACAACACCCTTAGCCCTGACAATTTTTCTCCCCCACTTCCCCTCCAACAGCAGGGACAGAGGCAGCAGAAGCTGGGCTGAGCATTAAGGGCTGATATATATCAGAATTACAGAGCTCTGAGGGCTGACTCGGTAAACCAGGCAGCTCAGCCCAGCCCCTTGCTACTGCCCTTCCCCTCAGGGAGCCACCGACTCCCGCATCCCCCCTTCCCCCGGGGCTTTTTGCACGGAGGAGCCGTCGAGCAGCCGGTGCCACAGACCGGTGGCTACCTTGGTCCTGCACTTGGGGTACTCGTGGTCGCCGGGCAGCACTTTGAAGGAGATGGGGACGCGGTCGGCCCTCCGGTTGGCGCAGAAAGCGTCCCAGACGGCCCGGTGCACGGCGTTGTACACCACGTCCAAGCCGGTGAGGGTGACGAAGGCCATGGGCCGGCAGCACAGCTCCACCGGGAAGTCCCACTGCGTCGGGGTCATCCTGCGACCGGGCGAGGCGGCCTGCGGGGCAGTGCGGCCCTCAACGCGGCACAGGCCGGCCGCTCCTCCGCGGCTGAGGCAGCTCCTCACGGACCGGACCGGGCCGGGCCGGCCGCTCACTCCCCACCACACCCCGGGCTGCGGCAGCTCCCCGCGGCCCCGCCGGGCGCTGACAGGGCGCCGGGCCCGTCCTCCTCCTCCCCGGGCGCCGCTCGCTGCCGGGGCTCAGCACCGGCCGCCAGTCACGGGAGGCGTCGGCGGGCAGGGCGAGGGAGGGCCGCCGTCTCAGGAAGCGAGCGCCGGGCGGGGGACGGACAGCGGAAGCGACCAATCGGCGCCTCCAACTCCGCCGCCAGGCCAATCAGAGAGGGTCCGCGCGGTTGCGTCACTAGCGAAGGAGCCAGTTAGGTGAAGAAGGAAGAGAGGGGAGGCTAGAGGAGCGGGCCAATGGGGAGGCGGAGAGGAGGTGACGAGGGGAAGAGAGGACCAATCGCAGCGAGCGGCCGGGTGAGCCGTGCTACCCTCAGGGGAGGTGTGTCCGGGGGGGCCGCCGGTGGGGCCGCCCCGCCTCGGCGGCCGTGACGGGAAGGGCGGGATCTCCGCGCGCCATGGCGGCCAACGAGGACCAGGAGGTGAGCGGGAGGGGGAGGCTGTGAGGGGCAGCAGGTCCGGGAGGCTGGGGGGACGCTGCCGGTGAGGAGACCGTGAGGGGGAATAGGCCCGGGAGGGTGGGGGGACGCTGCCTGTGAGGGGAGGGGGGGCACTTCGCAGCTTCGGGGTTGGGTGGGAGCTTGGTGTTGGGGCTGGGGTCGGTAACCCCCCTTCTCTGCTCCCTGCCGCAGATGGAGCTGGAAGCCCTGCGCTCCATCTACGAGGGAGACCTGTGCTTCAGGGAGCTTAGCCCCGTTTCCTTCCAGTACAGGGTAAGGCAAGGTGAAGGTCTGCGGGTGGCTGCGGCGCAGGCTTCCCCACAAAGTTCCTCTGCTGCCTTGTAGTTGAGGTGCCAGGGTTATTCTAGAACAAACGGGTGTTGGATGGGCAGTAAAGGTGTTGTTGAAACCATAACAAAAGGCTTCTTCCATAGGCCATCCTTTCAGGATCTTTGGTACAGTGATGCTTGATAGCACAATGCATAGTTTTTAGGAACCTGCTCCCAGCATGGGTTTATTGTCCCTTAGTGAGGCTCCTACTTGCATGTCTGTGTACTGCATAGCTAGAACTGTCAAACTGGCTGAAGGAGCCAGGACAGTGAATAATACTTAAATGAGCTGGACAGAAATGTCACTTATATATGGATATATACATATATACCTATAGACTTCTATATGTAAAGCTCTGAATCTCCCTTATTGCTCAGTTACAAGGTTCTAGTCGCTTGTCCAGGGGTAGTTGATGTTCCTCGTCTATCTGCTAAAGAGGAAATCCACAAAATGCTTTGGGCATGTGCACTGATGTGATCTGCTCAGCAGAAACATACAGAGAGTGCTGAGCTTGAAATACATCACTAGATTGTGGCATGAAATTCTTGCCTGCTTTCTCACATTTAAACATCTGTAAGTTCTTCTGGGCATGGACTGAGGCAGATCGTTGGACAGCCAGAGAACTTTACTGATGAAAACTTAGGCACCCATGAGACAGAATGGAGACTTCTGACAATGCCATATCCCTTTAGTGAGAAGGAGGCATCTAAAATAACCTTTCCATGACTTCTCAAGTAACTTCAGAGTAACATCAGTAATTGGAATGAGATAAGTCAATTTAATTAATAGCACTTGAATCCCATCCATGTAAGTGCAGCCTTCCTTCACTGATAGGACTGTTATTAGTGAATTTAATTTCCTCAAAAGAGCAAATGTGACGTGCCTACAAGGCTACAGTGTATCATTCAACATTTTACTAGTTTTTATTAGATGAAAAATAATTGTCAGAAGTTAGAACTCAATGTAAATACCGTAAAACTTAGTGTCAGACAAAGGCAATCGCGCATCGTTCCCATGAAGAAGAATTTGTGTTACAAGAAGGCTTAGTGCAAGTACGCTCATGAGAAGATTGTAAGAATTAGTATGCCATTTTTCTGAGCCTCATTTGTCTTGCACGGATCTTACATACAAAGCAGCTGTTTTGTAATCAAGTAAGGGTACTCATTTTTAGGTTGCACTGGCAAAGAGGAGCGTGGTCACACAGCTGTCTGTAGGGATTTGGGCAGTGCACAGGCAGAGCTTTCCTGAAAGAAGAGCTCTGTAAACCCTCCCGCCAGCTCCCTTCTGGGCAGCTGTGGGAACTGGGCTGCAACATTGTAGGTGATGTCTTGGTAAATGTTGCAGATTCCCTCTTGATTTATTATTTGTTTCACCTCTAAAACAGATACTTCTGAACCTCAGTTAGTCCACTCTGCTGAAACAGACACTGTAACTAAAAAAAACACCAACTTTTTTCCTTCATTTATTTTTCATTTCAAAGTACAGTAGCCTTACCTTGATTAGGACCTTTTTTTTTAGCTATACCACATAATTTGGTGAAGCCGGATTTTCACTATTCTAAGATGAGGGAAATAAGGGAGAATTTTCTTGTGGTTTTGGAATATAGATTTAACCATCTTTGTTGCACATCTTCCAAATCCTTGTGTGAAACGGTTATTTCTGTTTGTATAGCACACCTTTAGTAGCACCTTTAAAAAACAAAAGTTGTATTTTCTTTAATTTAACATAATTGTAAGGATTGTATATGTAATTTGGGTTCACTTAATTTGTTTGATGTGCATGATAATTTATATTAAAGTGTGCCCTTTTTTATGTTAAACTTTTTAAACCCAGCCTCATTCTACTGACTTCTTAAATCTTTTACTCCTTATTCTTTATTATGGTGAAATAAAATATCTGTAGTGATGAGATGTAAATATTGAAATTCTTAACTGTTATTTTTGCTGTCTTAGGTCACTAGTTTATCATTGTCTTTATGTCATTGCTGCTTTGTGTTTTCGTATTGCTCTGAGGTTGGATGTGTGGAGGGGGGAGGAAGAAGACTTCATCTTTTCTGGCCTTATATTTGACTTGTAGATGCTACAAAGTAGCTTTTAAAACCAAGTGATTAAAAAAAAACAAACAAAAAAAACACCAAAGCACAACACCAAAAACCTCATAAAAAGAGCTTTGAATGTTTCTGCTGCTTTTCCTAGGATGAAAACTGCAGGATAGAGGTTAATATTGATGTAATAAATTTGATACTTTCTTACAGATAACAGCTTTATTTTTTAACTGATAATTTTATAAAAACAGTTGTTACCTTAAGGAATTTAAATAGCCTTACAGAAGTGAAAGACTTGCATATATGGCATTGTAATGCTGAACAAGTGACTGGATACTGTTAATTTATAAAGTTTTTCATTTCCCTTCAGATAGGTGAAAATGGAGATCCCAAAGCCTTTCTAATAGAAGTTTCTTGGCCTGAAACATACCCACAAACAGCACCAGTCATATCCATGGATGCTTTCTTCAACAACACAATGTAGGTATTTCTGACAGCTTCACTGTCTAGCCTGCTACATGGGAGGGGCTTCTTGGTTGAGAAGCTTTTCTTCATCTGTCTAGATTATAGTTGAGTTTTATGGTTTCTTTTAGATCTTCAGCTATTAAACGAAGTATATTGGATAAGTTAATGGTAGAAGTTGAAGCAAATCTTGGAACTGCAATGACATACACGCTTTTTGAATATGCCAAAGATAATAAAGAGTTGTTCATGGAAAATCAGCCTGTTAACACTGTGGTAAGTAGATAAATTCAGATTTTAATCACCTGCTTTTAAAACTGTAGAAGACGGTTATTACAACTCTTTAAATACTTCATAGCTCTGTCTTGAAGTTGTTAATTGGTGTGTTGTGCACACATGTGTACACATGTTAGTGCCTAAACAGTGACACACAGAGTATGGTGCCACAATTGTTATATTTAATGGTTATTTTGCTGTTATACCAGAATGTTTATGGGCTGCAGTTCTGTCCCACAGAGTAACATAAAAATGGAGAACTTGGAGCAGAAAGAGAGCTGAAATGGAGATGAAAGGCATCTGCTCGGGGGCAAATTACTGCAACCTTCCTGGGATGCACTGGATTGCATAAGTACACCTCCAGGGTGTTGCATGAGTCAGGCTGGGTCTATTTGTGGCTTCAGTGTGAGGACATTATTGGCCTTTGTGGTGCTGCAGATTTGCTCTGAGAAAAAGAGGAATGGTTTCCATGGTTGGGAGGTCTGAATCCCTTCAGACTAAATTTAAAAAAATGTAAGAGGTACCCTTCGCATCTCTGAAAGGGAATCGTTCCAGTCCCCAAGACGTGTTTTTTAAAACCAAAATAATGATTATACATTGATTAAAAGCTGCAGGTTGCTGACAGCATTGCTTCTTTCTGGCAGTCAATATATTTCAGTATGTCAGGTTCAGTAACCACACGCAGAGGTGTCTGTGGAACTAATATGCGAAATATTAACAACCATTTTTATCCTCCTCAGACTTCAGTAAGCAATAGTATTGCAATTGGAACTCCTGATGTACCAGCAAGTAAGAAAAAAGATAAAAAGGAGCAGTTATCCAAAACCCAGAAACGAAAACTAGCTGATAAAACAGGTTTGTTCCCTATAATATTGTTTGGTTTGAGCAGTATGAAAATCTAAATTTTATAGCAGTGATATAGCTAACATTGAAATCAGTAGTCATTTGTTTATGAGATTAACTACTTTCAAGTATGTGGTTTCCATTTTGCTTTTGGTAGATGAATTCTTCTTGTCTGAGATGTTAGTTCTGGTCAAAGCAAATTTTTATAGAGTTTGGATTTCAAGGTGTCATTGGTCTTGTTTTAATTTTTCATTTCAGTTTGTGACAAAAGTGAAGTTTTCAGAAATTACTCGTGGGAGGAGAGCTTTTGGGACTTTTAAAAATTCACTTTCAACAGAAGACATGCTTTGTTGATGGGTCCTTGTAAATAATTCACATTATTAAAAATATAATTTCTAAATCAAAGTATTTGTTTTGGGACCCAAACTAAAGCATTTAATTTAGTTTGTATCCTCAAAATAGAGGTGCTTCTGCAGATACTTCATGCTTTCAGTGACGTGGTAGGCTTTTGATTGAAAAGTGTTTAATATTTCAGCTAATCCTGCTGATGACTTTTATGTGTTCAACCTCAATTTTTAATAATGATCTGGATGATACTGTCCTACTGCAGCAAGAAGTTGTACCCTGTGATAGCAATTTCTATATATAATTTACCTAACCTAATTATAGTTGGCACATTAAATGTTGACCGTATAAAGGAAAAAAAAGCTGCATAAAGTTTTGTTCTTTAACAGAATGCATCATTGCTGGTTATCCCAGCTCATGTTGGAGTTGCCTTTTAAATTAAATGTCAGATGGACTGAAGTGTTTTTATTCAAACAGAATTCCTTTGAAGATGTTTTTAAGACATTAATATCTGTTTTTGTCCTCATGGCTTTGTGGCGGAGAAATTAAGGGGTTTGGATCTTTAGAATTTTGTGTGTTGGTTTTAAAGAAAGATAAAGATTCCCCTTGGCTGGTGTGTTGAAAATAAAGCCTCCTTATTCTGCAGATAACAAAGGGGAGCTCCCGCGAGGATGGAACTGGGTGGACGTAATTAAGGTAACGTGACTGTATTATACGCAGTATTACGAAAATACTACATATCTACATTAAAAATAATTTGACTTATATCTGAAGAAAACTAATCTAATTTTTGTTCTTGCTTTTCTTCCTAACTTTGTTTGGATTTTTCTGTGGTGTCTTATTCATTTCTGTATGCATCCAGCATGTAAGTATTCTCAAGTTATCTTTTTTTAACATTAAAAGTTTGAAAGAAAATAGTAAGAACTGTTGCTCGTTTTGGATTCTAATTTACATATTTCTCAAAGGCTCTAAAATGTTTAGTTCTTCTGAATATTAGAGTCAGAAGGACTTTGATTCCTCTCTGAACTTTGTTGGGTTAGTATTTCTTTTTTATTTATTGTGCAATCGAGTTTTAATTTTATGATGAGAGCGCTTTGCTAGCCAAGCGCACTGCAAATATTCTGTCTTCATGTGGCACCAAGATGTAAAATCAAATTAGTGGTGCTGCTGGGAGCTGTTCCAAGTGGGAGCACCTTCTTGTCTCCTACAAGCCTGAGCATTCTCTGCCACAACTCCTCCAGTGAATAATTCTTTTCTACTTGCTGCCTCAGCGCTGATTTCTTCCACTCTCTTGTCTTTGCTGATTCAGTGGAAATCAGTGCAGCTGCTTGACAATTTTGAAAGCAAACTATTTTATTTTACACAACTGTAAGTAATTGTTGGTGTAGGACCTAACACCAGTTCCAGTGATGGGGGTTTGGGACAGATCCTTCTGAGTTAAAAGTGGCTATTTGTAGTGGATGTCTTGGTTTCCAGACAGATTTCACTGTAGATGCGCTACATCTAGGAGTAATTTAGCTTTAAAAAAGAGTGAAATAGTAAGTTACTATCTGTTTTTGTAGTGTGTAAATCTCTATATGGGAATTCTCTCAGAGGTGCGTGGAGATACTTTTTCCATTACTTCATCTTTTTTTATTTTGGAGGGCTGGTGGCAGAGTCTTCAAATTAAATAGAAACAGTACTCTGAGGTTTTTCTGGGCTTTTGTGTTGCTTTTGGTTTGGTTTTGTTTTGTGGTTTCGTTTTTTTTTTTTTTAAACCAACTTTCACATTTAGGAAATAAGCTTGGTTTTGTGGTTTTGTTTTGTTTTGTTTTTTTAAAACCAACTTTCACATTTAGGAAATAAGCTTATTTAGTGTTCAAGCTTAAGAAGTAATTGTTGATGTTTTGCAGTCTCTTGGTACGGTAGCACAATCAGTCTGTATTATTAATTAAATATACACATTTTCTATGTAAGATGGAGATAATGTTGTTCTTGTTTCCTAATAAATGGAATGGCAGTCTAAACTTTGAATACTTTCTTTTTGTGTCTCTTTTATAGTTAAGCAAAACTGGTTCTAAAGATGATGAATAAAGGACTTTGGTACAAGGAAACTTCACCTTTTAATACAGTGCAATTTTGGGTCACCATCTATCTCTTAAGAACTTTCGTAATTGTCAAAGTAAACATTTTATAAAGCTCGATTTCCTAACTTGCAAACCTAGTCACAAAAGTTTGTCTAGAGACTATGTGGTTTTCTTTGGAAAAAAAAAAACCCACAACAAACTTGCCTTAAACGAAGGTTAGAATGTGACAAAGGATATAGAGAGCCAATGTGGTGCAGTGAAGAGTGCTATCTATCTGCAGTGTTTATTAATTTATATTTTACTCTGTAGTAAAATCCTGTTATAGTGAACCCGATGATACTGTAAACATTTCCTGATGTTCCTATTCCACTTGAAAAAAAAAAAGCACTATAACAGTGATTGGTCACTTGACAGCAAAATCCATCAAAATAAATTATTCCGTGGAAACAAGACCTTTGTCATTTGTTTATCTAATATGAACGTAGAAGGAGAACATAAAAATGGTTACATTGCAATACAGACTAGAGCTCTATGGTCCCGTTTTCACTAGTTACTGCCTGAAATAGTAAATACTGGCGAAAGCAAGGCCAAGTATTCTAGTCTGCTCCCAGATGAGTGGTTACAGCAGGAGTATGTCTTCTTTATTCCCTGCGGTACCCATCTGTTAGTCTTTCTCCAGCGTGCATCTTTCCAGAAGGTCGGATGGATGTCTGTGGGGAGAGGAAAGTGCTTTCTTGCAGGTGTCTCGGTGAGTGGTGGGATTCTGTAGCTCTTTCGTTGGAGAAATGGGAGTTCCTTGGAGGGGTTTGCTGACGGAGCGGTGGGACGGTGGGAAGAAGCCAGCATTCTGCCAAAGGGGTTGGGAGAACATTTATTTATTTTTTTTCCCCCTAATTTGTTCTCTTGTATCAGAAAGAGAAGTCATCTCTACTATATGAACAGTTACTGAATACAGGATGCCTTAATGTCCATTATAATTTTTGTTTGATTTGAGATGAACTTTAATAAATGCCTATTTATCTGCTGTGGTATGTGGTTTTTTGGTTTGTTTGGGTTTTTTATTATTTTTTTTTATTTATTTTATTTAAATTGTGTGTTGCCTGCTAGGGCCAAGTTGGAATTTGCAAATTTAAATTGTGTATTGCCTGCTAGGGCCAAGTTGGAATTTGCAAAGGATCTTCTATTACAAAGAAAGCGTTCTTAAAAACTGATGGAAGAACTGTATCTTCCCTCTTTTGGTATATGTTTACAAGTTCTCTGTGTAAATGTTTGCTGTTAATATGAGGGTCGGTCCATCTGCTGAGAGTCATAGGAACATATCCATTGTGTTCAGTACTCGTGGCAAATCCAGCATCTCTTTGAAAGAGAGCACACACTGGACGTTTTTGTGAGAGGGATGTTGGATGCTCCCTTCACTGGTGCTGAGATAAGAGCTTCTGTAGCCACTACAGCGTAGTTGATGTGGCCACCATAAAGACTTCAGTTGATGGAGTGGAAGACACATGCTACTGCCTGTGTCAAGAGAGCTTGTATACAGCATATGTTAGTACAGTTCTCTTAAATTCTCTTAAATTGCAAAATTACTGCTTGTCTTCCTATAGAAAGGAAAGAAGTTTATACGAAATGTGGCTGCAAGTGAAAGAAAAAAAACCTGAATGTGTTCTGTGCTTTTCACTCCTCTGGAGAGACTGGGGAGATCTGGAAGAAATACAGTCTGTACTGCTGTCAGCCAACAAGAAGCTGTAGTTTTTCCTGAAACACTCGAGTTACAGTTGGTAAATGTATCAGGAGAATACCATTAATTCTTACAGAATTCTTTATTTCCAAAAGAGGGAAGGGCATTTATTTAGCTTCAGGCTCTGTCAGCATCAGGATGGGCAGGGCTTTTTCTATTCACAGGCTCTCCGAGGGGAATTGACTTGTCTTTGCTGGTATCCTTGGTGTAGAAATCGCGTTGCCATGACAATTTATCTGAATAGATTAGTTAGGAGAGGGGGAAGGACAAATAAGAACACATCTCTCGATTTTAGAGTGTTACTGTGTGCAACGGCAAACTTGTTAACCTTGTGAAATGCCTAATTTTTCAGCTCCTACTCTGCCTATAAACCACACGCTCTTGTGAAGATACCTGAGGAATCTTCTCTGGTTTTGTTAGCAAACGTGTTTGTTTGGAAGTCTGCTTTCAAGGGAAATAGTCTGCATTGGGAACTTTTGTATCAGTTCTTTGCTTTGAAAGGTAATTTGTGTCGTTAAACCACTTTCTTATATGGCATGATACTTGGAACTGGGTCATTTCAAGAATGTAGGTCCTTGATTTTATGGGGAGGCCTGAGCACTGACAGCTGAGGGGAGGGAAAATGTAATGATTTTTATCAAGAATTATTATGTTCTCAGGAAGGGCACAACTGTAAATAGAAATCATGGCTACTGAGGGAATTCTAGACACCGCCATCACCCACCTTTTTAGGTAAAAAAACCCACATTGGCACTGGAAAAATGGTAGTTTATGCTTTATTTCAGTAGGGCAAGATTGCAGGGCTGCACTATCTATTTGAATTCATGGGTTTTGCAGGGAAGCTTTGGTTGGCCTGAGAAGACAAGTGTCAATACTGGTAACAGTAAAGTAAAAGTAGCAAATGTCCAAAATGCAGATGATTAAAAAGGAATGTATTGGTTTACAAAATTTTCCATGTTGCGTGGACACTAATTGCCTTACTCAAGCTTTACTTGAAATGGCTTTAAAAAAAAATACCATTTATCTATAGCGTTGTTGCAGTAACCACTTGGAAATCTCATCCAATCAAGCATAGCTTACTTTTTCCCCTTTTTTCAAATTTGTCTTAGAGAATCTTTCTTTGAGACAAATTTGGTGCAGAAAATTGAGGTCGCAACACCAAGTGCTTAAATGAAGTTTAAAATGGTTTGGTACCTCTGAAACACAGGGACCTCTTTTCAAAAATCTGTCCAGCTCTTCCTCTTGTTGATGTGGGTATTTGGAGAATACAGGAAAAAAAAATACAGTAGGGACACAAAAGCTGTCACTATCACATTGGTAGTTTTTACTTTATTTTGGATGAAACTTCAGACAAGTCTTTAATTGTATTTGCATGATGTTAAGTACAAGTTCATTCCGTGCTGTTGGTACCAAGACTGAAGATGCTCCATTGCACTGTTGTTTGTCAAATCCCAGGGGATAATGCAGCCTGCCAATATGTATGTTGGGTAGAGGGGTGAAATCAAAGCTGCTCTATAAAACCAGCTGCAGCTGGTTTTACAGAATCATATAATTGTTTTGGTTGGAAGGGACCTTTGAGATCACGGAGTCCAACTGTTAACCCAGCACTACCAAGTCCTCCACTAAACCATGTCTCTCAGCACCACATCTACACATCTTTTAAATCCCTCCAGGGATGGGGACTCCACCACTTCCCTGGGCAGCCTGTTCCAGGGTTTGATAACACTTTCAGTGAAGAAATTTTTTCCTAATATCCATCCTAAACCTCCCCTGGTTGTACATGGGGTGGATAGATAAGGCATGCCCTACCAATGAGCAATTAAATTTTGGTAAAAGAACAGTAGGAGAAAATGCAGCATTTCTTCATATAGGGCCCTTGGCAGAAGTGCCAGCGTAAGGATGTTATACTCCTTTTATCTGAGGCAATACAAGTGGGTTTGGGTTATACTGTGAATTTCAGGCTGTGAAAGTGATTGAACTGGTCTCAACCAGAAATAGTTCCCCTTTGAAAATTGTAGTCATTGAACTGGTCCCAACCAGAAATAGTTCCCCTTTGAAAATTGTTTCCTTCAACTGTGTTTTGTGGCTTATAGGACAGTACCCTAAGCACCTCTAGTTCACAAAAAAATGAAGGGGAGAAGGAAACATTCATTCCCCAGAGAAAATACCAGAAGGGCCTGTGGAAGCAACATCTGAAAGGCTTAAGTTAAATAAGTTAAGACAAAACACCTGGAAAATCAGGTTAGAAGATTTGCTGTGGGTGAAAGAAAGAATTAACTCATTCTCTTCTCTCTCCTTCATTCAGAGCAAAGTGAGGAGTGACTACAAATGGCTGAATTACACAAGAATTTATATCCAGACATCGGTGTCCTATGTCAGACTGAAAGTTTGTCCATCTGGTTTAAAGTTTTACATAGTTTTCTCTTGCTACTGTGTCTGAGCGTTCATGCCTGTGGTTCCTACAGTAATATTCATGTTCTGCAGTATCTTTATTACTGGTAATGATCAGTGAAAGGGAAAAGTTGGTCTAGGATGAGTTTGGAAGATACTATTCCAGAAAAGATAATCTTTTCCTTCTCAAACAATTACAGTGTCACTGGGAGGCGATAAATATAAATATAAACATAGCCTTGTGTGGAGTCACTCTTCAGAGCAGGATCTTACTTTAAATCAAGTAAGTGTCTCTGTCAGTAATGCACTTCATGATTTCCTGCAGGAAAAACAAAAGTGAAGAAAGATTTACTATCTAAAGAGCTGCTGTCTCCACCGCAGGGAACCATTTCATGTCTACTTATAGAGAAAACTGTGCTTCAATGGGCCTTGAAGAGAGAAATTTTATAATAGTACAGGAAAAATGTAGAAGCTCTGATAAAAGTGCATAGCCTCTACAGATTGTTAACAAATTTGCACAGCAGTATCAGTTTCATATTTTTCTCTGAAGATCAGCACTAGAATATTACCAGGTTTTAGTTAACTGGCATACAGTGTGATCAGGTTGTGTTTTTTTTTTTTCTCCTCATGCCATATGTCTTTGGATGATAAAAGTACAGGATGTAGTATAGAAATTGGTTTCCTAGATTAAAATAGTGCTAAAGTTACAAATCCACTCAAAGGAAGGAAATCAGTCTTACTCAGAAGTAAGGATGTGCCAAAATGAAAGCTGCCTGTGTGATGTTTATATGAAAAAGTGCATAGGAAGATTTTATTTCTTTGACTACATATTTTTTTTGGGGGGGGGGGGGGGAAAGTAAGTAAATACTCTAAAACAAAACCTCACCTTACATACCTTTTTAGTTTCTGCCAGTGTGCCTCTTT